TTTTTTTTTAAAGATATATGAGATACATATTTAATTAAATGTTTTTTTACAATTTTGTTCTGACAGTCCCATTGACTCATTTACAGTTTTTCTATTACACAATAAGAACATGATTGGATGGAAATGTATAAAACCATTTTACTTTAGATTTCAAACAGTGTCTGGTAGCATCTGCTATGAGGTCAAGAGGTCAAAGCTGAAAGAAAAAAAAGAAGTATCATGGTAAAGAGAGACAAAAATGCAACGTCCTCTTATGAGGACACAGGGTCTCAGGAGGTTAAATGTTTTTTTTGTTTGTTTGTTTTTTTTATACTTATTTTTTATTGAACATTTCTGAACACATACAGTGGAGAGGCATCAATACATTCAACTTCATACACAACGTTGGAGAAACGTGTCAATATTTAACTGGGTACCAGAGTGGCTTTCTCCTTGCGTCTGTATTCGCTCCATTTTTCCCATTTAACATCAATAAAGTTTTAAATGTTTTACCTTATTTCCTGCAACTGGGATATCTGTACAGCACTTCGGTCGACCCCAGCTGTTTTAAATGTGCTTTATAAATAAAGTTTGAGTTGAGGTTAAGGGGAACTACAAAGCAGGGACGTCCCCATCCAGCTTTTTGCACCGATCCCAGCCTATCAGAGCATGTGTTAAAGTTTAAAGTTATTTATCTACTTACTTAGTTGTCAGACTCATTTTGAACAGGGATTTACTCTGATAACAACTAGCATCTAAATTAAGGGAGTTTGAATAACACACACTGGTTAGTAAAGAGACTCTGACCTGTTTATTCAGGGATAAACACAAATAGACTAAATTATAAATAACAAACGGAAATGGCATCAGTCAACAGTAAAAAGTGCAAATAATATTGTAAACCATATTAAAAAGGCAAAACACACAAAAGACCTGAATAGAAAATAGTCTATTAACTCTGTTTGACATCCAGCTCTTGGTCTTTTTCGTCTTTAAGGATAAAATAATCCCACACAACTGACATTTTTACCCATAGCTTCA